GAGAGAGGCCGGTTTTTATCGAATGGCTGATCATACTTTTACTGAATGAAGCGAATAAGAATCTGAGCGTGCCATAAAGTTCTATTTTTCGCTTCACTGACAATAAATTTTTTGGCAAATATTTTTGTACCAAATCTCCTGTCCATAAAGCATCGATGTTGGAAAGCATTCATGTTGTCCATATTTTGCCTGGACATCTTCATTTTTGCCGGCCGCTTTACCAGAAACCTTGGGTAAACGTGTAGGGCGACCGTAGCCGAATTCAGCCAAGGATTTTCACCAGAGTTTGGGAAATGTGGACGGGCCAGCTCGGCCACACTGGTCAACACGATTCCATTATTTCTTTCGCTTTGAAACAATTAAGAAAAATGGCGATCAACAATCGGTGTTGATAAATGGGTGATGTCGATCCACTCCTCGACACAAAGTTTGGTTGTGATCGGATGGGAGCTACCACATAGAGTTGTACTTAAAGTAGCCCTATGCACTGAACTACAAGGATAATTCGGCTCGCAACCTATCCCCAAATTCGCCAACAAACGGGCCTGCACCCAGATTCGGCCCACTTTTTCAAAGCTGGGGGAGGGGGGGGGGGGTTAAAGCTCAAGTGGAGAGGGCTGGAGCCCCACAACTTAGTAGTAAACTACACTCCTCAGTTCTAATATCACAATTACAAGAATACGCTGGTTTCTTCCTATTCTCAGTCGTGCCAGCGTAGCCTGTACAAGTTGTCTTTGCGTTTCTCTGCGTTTCTGGGATAACGGATACCGAACAAACTGACTATTTTGGACCACTCGGGCCACTCGTTCTTGATGCAAATTCAAATCAGGTTCGCGGAGAAGTCGTAAAAATGCGAAGCAAACAAATTATCTCTAGGCTAAACTCCCGTTCGTAGATGACGTGCTGTGCGAACAGGGTAATACTGCCCAACGATGGGCGGTTTGCACGGCTTTTGAATAACGGTGGCCACTGCTCCCGGTTTATAGCTCATTTTAGTTAGTCAGCAATGAAGGTCCGAGCGGGCCCAGCGGTAAGTATAAACTACGAAGCGTGTGCTAATGGGCTGTAAGGGAAATGTGTACGGAATGACACAACATGGAAACTATCTTGCAGCCATTGACAAGGAATATCTTTTAGAGCAGTTTGCTATGGCATGTATACCTATCAAATATCATGAAGTGGTAAAGACTTGATGTCAAGGATGGCAGTCGCTATCACTTATGTAATTCGTCAACGTTTTGTTGGTTTCGTTCGTTCTTTCCCATTCGTTCAACATCCGTGGCGGCGTCGCGATGACGGGGCGGCGGAAGCTGTTGATGCGAATCGACGAGCACGTGGCTGGCGGCCGGGTTAAAAGGTATCAGGTTGCGCTGTCGGCAGGGCTAAACCTTCGAAAACGGCGCAAAATCGATTCCATCTGCAGATGTTCACGAGGTCGGATAACGACCTGCGGTCTTCAACGGAAAGTGACGGTAATTTGGAAAACGTAGACGGAAGCTACCCCAGCCATTCCGACGACCGGCGCTGACACGTGTAGACGTCATGACTCGCCGTACCGTGTCTCTGGCTCCATCACAGGCGGCCGAGATACTCTCCAGTTGTCCGATGAGGACGAAGACGGCCAGAGTTCCGACGTCCGACACGCGATATCAGCGCGGATACTAGCGCAGAGGAGGATGTCAATTTCCAATTTGTCGACGAGCCTGTGGGGAACAGCGAGCCTGCCGGTAGCCCAGACCAAGCCGCTGACGGACGAGCTGCCGTCAAGCTGGTCTGACTTGACCCGGTCACAGCCCAAGCCAATGGAGACTGATTTTCAGCAAACCCCAATGAACTCGGCGGGAATCTACGCGCTCCGGGACTCCTGCCAGCGGGTGGGGGCAGAGTAGATCATCGACACTCCAACAACCGGACATCGCCTGGACGGACTAATATCATGATCCAGAGGTCCAGAGGTGTTCGTGGTGCCACCCTGAAGGTAAAACAGGAAGCAGATGCCTTCAAGCTTTCCTTCAGCGAAAGTATGCTCCGCTAGATGGCAGCAAGAACCAACACAAAGCCAGAGGAGCTGAAACAGCGTTAGCAGCTGACGAGTAAGGAAGCATGCCTCTTCGCGCCAGCCAGCCACACCGAGATTTGCGCCCTCACCGTTCTGTCTTCCTTTTTTGTTGTTCTGTGGTAAGGAAATTGACAGCGGGCCGACCGTTCAGCAGCTGCCTGACCCTGCCAATGGACTGTCCATCTTCAAGGCTACCATAGGGAGCAGACGGTTCGCGATGCTGCTGAAAAACCTCCCGCGCGATGGTGACCGCGGCACGCGCGA